TTGCATTAAATTTCTGAAAAGGAAACTTCCCAATAAAATTCAAAAAATTTGTTTTTAATCATCTTAGATTCAATTTCTTTAAAATAAATGAAAATTTTGCAATGCAATTTCAATTAGGAATTAACTTTTTCTTTGTTTACCTAAATTGATTTTGAAAAACAAAAAAATAATAATAATGAAAGTATAATAAATAAATAAAGATAAAAAATGATAGGTGGAGGCCATGCACCATGGCTAGGTGGGGGTGCATGCAAATAGGACAAGTGTCCTCATTTTGTTGACACCACATGCAAGGAGAGGGATAGTTTGCAAGACACTTGGAAGTCTAGGAAAATTTGAAAACAAAAAGCAAAGGAGAAAAACAAAAGGAAAGAAAGCTGGAAAAAGAAGCTATGGGAAATTAAGGGAGAAAAAACTAGAAAGAGAGGAACAAGAACTAGCGTTTTCCTAAATAGATGTGCATGCATCCTCTCACTAAGTAGAGGCTTTCTCACTCTAAGTAGAAGTGCTCTCTCTTGGGATAGGAGCTTCTTCACCTTTTTGGTGGGAAAAGGTTCCCAACTCAAACTTTTTCAAACTCTCACTTTCAAACATCCAAAATCCCGCATTTCATCAATATGAGATTCCAAAGTAGCTGATTCATCATTTATGTCGGAAGTTATGCAATTGAAAGTAGTAATTCACTGAGATACGTTCTGCATGGATTGAAGTAGCCCAAGCGACACAAGCTTCAGAACTTAAGTAAGCTTTTGCCAATTTGAGTGCGGTTCTGTGCATCCAAATTCCTTTAGTATTTACGTAGGTAACAGTGATCAGAGCAACCTTTACTTTGTCTATTTCCTCTTGGATCTTAATCAGTTTAACCTTTCAGTATTTTCTCTGGTTTTTCCCTATTCTCGGATATCTTTCTCTGTTTCGTACCTTGTTTTTTAAGCTTTTTTCCTTTGAGTGTGGAGTGGAGATCTTCCATTTAGTGAAGTCTGACTGTCCATGGAGGGAGACTTATCGGAACTTATGCAAAAATTTTCCCGGGAAGGGAATGAGCTCTTAGGAGCAGTTCTGGAGGTTGAAGACCTTCAGCATGGTGTGAGAGCTTGCGAATATAGCATCATAGGTAGAGTTATAGGAGAGAAAGTGACTAATTTTACAGGAGTTAAAAGTTTTGTGGCTATGGCATGGGGTTATCCGAGGAATATGACAGTTATGGAATTGGGACCTAATGTGTTTCAGTTCAATATCCCAAATGCTGATGAGAAGGAAAAATGTGTTAATGGGGGACCTTGGGTGATTGATAATCAAATTTTAGTGTTGAATAGGTGGACAGAGGGGATAGAAGAAGACTATAGTGCCTTTATGGTAACACCCCTTTGGGTGCAACTTTGGAACTTGCCAATCCACTGGCTCTCTAAAGAGGTTGGAACAAAGGTAGGATCAGTGTTCAAAGGAGTTAGTGAAGTGATAGTACCTCAGTCTGGGAGGAAAGAGGGTAGACATTTGAAGATTTTAGCTCAGGTATATTTGTCTAAACCTCTCTTAAGAGGTACAGTGGTCAAGATTGCAGGTGCACTTAAGTGGGTAGCATTCAAATACGAAAGGTGCCCTGATTTTTGTTACAGTTGTGGTATAGTAGGCCATAGTGAGAGGTCTTGTAAGAAGAGGCGTATATTAGGGGGAAGCAATGTAGAGAACCAATATGGTCCTTGGATGAGAGTTGGGACATATAAGGTTTCACCTCAGAAAAAATCTAATAGGCCTGAAGTGTTGAATGATTGGTCCTATCGAAATGGTGAATTGGTTGAGCAAGAAAGTAGCAGGATTAGAGTGACTAAATGCCTGCTGGAAACGCTCAAGTCCACTAGTAATGGAGGAGATAGTACCAGAGGGATAAGCAATGATAGAGCAGAGAACAGGAGTCCGAAAGAGACTATAGAACCTACGTATGAACAGGAAAGTGAGCAGGCCTCTCTAGGTGGTCAGGAGAGACAGTTGAATTTAGAGAAGAAAAACCCTGATTTATCCTTAGTGTATCAGGGTGCAGAAGAAGGAAAAAATACTGTTGAGGTAGATACAATGGAGGAGGATAGCGAGGCTGGATAGTGAGCCAAAATCATATCAAGAATTGGGGTCTAATGAGGAGGCAGAAAGCACTCTAGTGCTTCGTCAGGAGAGCCAATGTGCTAATAGGGTGGGGGTGGAGGTAGATCAGCAAGCAAAGAGGACTTTTAGGAGGTTGAAATCCTCAAGCAGAACTAGGAAACCTTTGAGGGAGTTAAATGGCAGAGGTGATAATCAGATGAAGGCTGGAAAGAGGAAATGTTTGATCAGGGATGAAGAGATGGAGGATGCTACCTATGAGCTAGTGCAATGGAAAAAAACTAAGCCAATGGAGAAGCTATATTCTACCGAACTGAGGGGAGAGGAGGAGGGGTCCTTCCTTAAAGGGGTCCCCAAAGGAGAATGAGGGTCATGGTGTGGAACTGTCAAGGAGTGAGGAGCCCCTTGACAGTTCCCCAGCTGAGGGAGGTTAACAACCTCTCCTCTCCAAGTTTGATTTTTTTAAGCGAGACTAAGAATAGGAAACCAGTTCTTGACAGGATTGCTAGGGGGCTCGGATTTGAGAATACTGTAGTGGTCGAAGCTATGAATAAAGCAGGTGGCATGGCTATGTTCTGGACTAAGGACACTAACATCCTAGAAGTGAACACCACTGCCTTCACGATAGAGGTTAAAATTGAAGACAGTGACAATCACAGTACCTGGTGGTTTATAGGTTTATATGCTTGTTGTGATCAAATGATTAGGAGGGAGCAATGGAGGGTGATCAGTAGAAGGAAAAGGCTATGGGGAGACAGGTATCTAATAGCCGGGGACTTCAATGACATCCTGTCTAATGAGGAAAAGTGAGGAGGTGCAGTAAGAGAGGAGAGAAGCTTTAGGGATTTAAAAGAGCTCATTGATCAGAACAACTTAGTAGATATTGGCTATGATGGTCAACCTTGGACGTGGAGCAACCACTGGAATGATGAAGGTGAGATTAGGCAAAGGCTTGACAGATGTCTTTGTAGTGTTGATTGGTTCCAAATTTTTGAGAAGGCAAGATGCCAACACTTGGACACTCTTGCCTCTGATCACTCCATGCTTATGATAGGCACCATCCCCACAATAGACAGGCACAAGAAAAGGTTTTATTTTGACAAGAGGTGGCTTCAAAGGGAAGGGGTGCAACAAGTGATTGAGAGAGCATGGAATAAAGAGGAGCAAGGCTCTAGGATGTTCAAAATTACAAAGAAGATTAGAAATTGCAGAATTGAACTCTTGAAATGGAGGAATTCTTTCCAAACCAACTCAAGGAGTAAGATTAATGATCTTAAGAAAGAGCTGAAGGAAGCTAGGAATTCAGAGTCTATTAACAGGAGGCAAAATCTGATTGACATTAAGGATAAGTTGAGAACTGCCTATAAGGAGGAAGAACACTTTTGGAGACAAAAAGCTAGAATTAGTTGGCTTAGGGAGGGGGATAAAAATACTAAGTTTTTTCACACCTATGTCAAGGGTAGAAGAGTAAACAATAGAATGAGGAATTTGAAGAGAAATAATGGTTCTTGGACTAGTACTGAGGATGAGGTTGTGAACGAAATTTCTGATTACTTTAAGGATCTGTTTAGTAGTGGAGGGAGAGGTGACATGTCTGAAATTCTAGATGGTATTCCTCACTCCATAACTCAGGAAATGAATAATAATCTGACTAAGGTAGTTGAGGAAAAAGAAATTCATGATGCTCTCCTTTCCATGAACTCTGAAAAGGCTCCAGGTCAACATGGGATGACTCTACTTTTTTTTCAGAAATTCTGGAGCACCATCAAAAGGGACATTATCCCAGCAATCCAAGCTTTCTTCTCATTAGGCTTCATGCTTAAATCCATTAACCATACGGTTATATCCCTCATTCCCAAAATCCAGAATCCTATCAGTTTAAAGCATTTCAGGCCTATTAGTCTTTGTAGTGTGCTTTACAAAATCATCTCAAAAATCTTGGCTAACAGATTAAAGATCATCCTGGACAAATGCATAAGCAAGACTCAATCAGCCTTTATCCCAGGTAGACAGATTTTAGATAATGTGATGGTTGCTCATGAGTACATGCATTACTTGAAAAATAAAAGACAAGGAAAAGATGGATACATGGCTCTTAAGCTTGACATGGCAAAAGCTTATGATAGGGTGGAGTGGCACTTTTTGCTTGCAATGATGGAAAAAATGGGTTTCTGTACTAAATGGATTGAATGGATAAATAGCTGCCTGACAACAGTCAATTATTCCTTCAATTGTAATGGAGAAGTTAAAGGTTTTGTCTCACCAGGGAGGGGTATTCGACAAGGAGATCCACTGTCACCATACCTGTTCTTAATATGTTCTGAGAGATTTTCCAATTTGTTAAGGCAAGCTGAAGAAAGCAAGAGGATCACAGGATTGAAAATCAGCAGGCAAGGTCCTCAACTTACCCATTTTTGTTTGCTGATGATTCGCTCATCTTTTGTAAGGCAAACAAGTAAGAGGCGGCTGAAATAATGAAAGTCCTAAAAGTCTATGAAGCAGCCTCAGGGCAGTTGATCAACTTTGACAAATCTGCAGTCTTCTTTAGTAAAAATATGGAAGATGAACAAAGAGGAGTGGTATGCCAAGCTTTGGGAGGGATGGTGGAAGCCAAGCAAGGAAAGTATTTGGGTCTTCCTATGGTGATTTCTAGAACAAAGAATCAGATTTTTGGCTTTATTAGAGAAAACATTAAGCGTAGACTTCAGAATTGGAAGAACAAATTTCTGAGCTTGGCTGGAAAAGAGGTCATGTTGAAGGCAGTTGTAATGGCCATGCCTACATAAATTATGTCCTGCTTTAAGTTGCCAAGAACACTCTACAAAGACATTAGCAATATGATGTCCAATTTCTAGTGGGGTGAAACTGAGGGAAGGAACAAAATGCACTGGATCTCTTGGGATAAAATGGCAGTACAGAAGAACACAGGTGACCTTGATTTCAAGGATCTGGAAGCCTTCAACAAAGCACTTCTGGGTAAGCAGTTATGGAGGTTACTAACCAAGCCAAATCTTCTGGTCAGCAAGGTATTAAAGTCTAAGTATTTCTCTCAGGAATCCATACTGCAATGTACCCTCCCTAAGAATGCATCATGGATTTGGCAAGGATTACTGGGAGCAAGAGGTTTACTAGATGAAGGACTGATTAGGAGAATTGGAAATGGTAGGAATACGAAAATCTGGGACCATAAATGGTTACCAGAGACACTCACGGGGAAGCCTTCTATATGCAGAACAAGTAACTGTGAGTTGAAGATGGTAGATAAGCTCATATGCCAGCAGAGATGGAACAGGAATGTTATCTTCAGAAACTTCAACAAAGAAGATGCTGAGAAGATTCTCTGCATCCCTCTAAGCCTATCAGGGAGGAAAGATAGCTTTTACTGGAAACCAAAAGTTGGAGGGGAATACACAGTTGACTCAGGATACAAAATATTGATGGAGAAAGGCAGAAGCAAAAGGAGGTACAACCAGGAGGGAGCTGGAACAAGCGTTTCTAAAGGAAGCCAGCAAATGGTACAGATGTGGGATACATTTTGGAGGCTCAACATTAAGCATAAGATCAAACACTTCATTTGGAAGTGTATTAAACGAGCTTTACCAATCAGGGAGGCAATGAGAAAACGAACAGGAGTAGGGGATCCTATCTGCTCAACCTGTGGTAAGGCACAGGAAACCATAGAACATATGTTACTAAACTGTCCACACGCACTGGAAGTATGGAAATCAGCTCCCATTCAGTGGGATAGAGCAAATGATCAGAGGGGAGACTTCAAGAGATGGTGGCTGAGAATTACAGAGGCAAGAACTAGACAGGAAGGAAAGGATCATATTGGCCTGACGGCAAATATATTATGGCAGGTATGGAAAGATAGGAATAAGAAGGAATATGAGAACTCAGTTAGATTAGCACCATTGAGAATAGTAGAACGTGCGCATAAAGAGTGGATGGAACAAGGGGTAGAGTTTAAACAGGGGATAGAAAGAGTACAGAAGAAACAGTCCATATGAATGATCTCCAAAGCCAGAGCAATGGAAATGAAGGGGCCTTAATCATACAAGTGGCAACAGCAAAGAAACAAGGACAGAACGCCTTTGGCATAGGAGCCACAGTAAGGAATGAGGCAAACACTAAAATTGCAGATTGGATGCTGAAAGAGAGAAGTTTGGGGAGTAACATTTTAGATGATGCACTGGCATTAAACCTGGTTCTATGCAAAGTTATACAACAGCAGTGGAGGAAGGTACAACTCAACTTTTGCAACAAAGAACTATGAAAACAACTAACACAGCAACGACCAACAGATAGCAAGATGGCTACTTTGCTGGAGGATATTTTAAATCTGAAGAGACTGTTTTGTATGTGCTCTTTTGGCTTGGAAAGGGAGGAAAATATGTTAGACAGTAGACAACTGAGTGCAAATGCTTTAAGCATAATTGTGGATGAGGAAAGAATTTTCCTCAGTGTTCGCTGAACACTTTTGAACAGTTACTTCGAGCCGTTGCTTGTACATGTATTATGGTTCTTTTGATAATGAAATTTCCTATCATTTCGACAAAAAAAAAGAGGAACAAGAACTGAGAGAGAGGAGGGGCATCTGAGCAAAGGGAGAAAGAGAGGAACAGCAAAGAAAGAAACAAAAAAGGAAGAAACGGGCTGAACAGAAAAAGGAGCAAGAAAGGAAGCAAGAAAAAAGAAGAAAAGGAGCTGCGGGGGAAAAAGGAAAGGAAAAGAGGAAAAGAAAAAGAGGGAAAGGAGGGAAAGGAGGATCTGGGAGAGTGAGAGGGAAGGTGACGGCTGAAGGGAGAGCAAGAAAGGGGCAGAGGGGTGGCAACTGAAGAAAAAAATAGCAAAAAAGAGAGGAAAAAGAAAGGGGAAAGGAGGAAAGGATAAGAGGGTTTTGGTTGGGGGAGAAAGAGAGGAAAATCTGGAATAGAACCGAAAACAGACAAGAAACAAAAATGAAAGAAAAAAGGCAAAAGAAAGTGAGAAAAATCAGCGAGGGAAGAAAAATTTTCTGCTAAGAAAATTTCAAGATCAGGCTGATTCATCAGCCCGTTTCATCTCCAATTTCCGATCATATTTCGGATTTTTAGAAAGGTTTCTTCATTTCTGCAATATCCTGGACTGCAATGGAGAAGTTTTCTTTCAGGAAAAGTTTGGGGAAAACAACTCCAGACCATTGAATTGAAGCTTCAAGTTGCGGTACCATCAATCCCTGAAGAAAATTTTGCAGCTTCAAACTTGTCATCTAAACTCATTTCTCCAGATTTCTCATGTGGATTCAGTCCCAAACTGCTAGCAGGTAATGCCTACCTTTAAAGCTTGCCAATGTAACGTTTTTATGAAGTTTCGATGGACCATCGCATGAGTTTTTTTGTTGTTTCGTGGTTACGCTTGCACCTGTCATTTCCTCCTTTTGTGATCCTAGTTGCTTCAAAGATTTGAATTTTGATGATTTTAAGATGTGCTAAAACAGTGTTAGAAAGGCTTTAATGTTTAATGTTTGGGTGATGTGGTTGGATCCTCAGGTCTTGATAAGTTCTACGATTTGTTTCACCAAAAGCTAACTTTGGTTTCCTTTTCTCGCATTGTTTAGCTGATTTTCTTTTGATCTTCGATGGTTTAATGTTCATGATTGGGTTGTGTTAATCAAAGGGTGTTGAATTTATTAAAGGGTTTAGGTTGATAGGTTCTCGGGCTTTAGTTTGAGTTTGCACTGAATAAGCTTCCAATTGCAGAGCTTTCCGTTGTAGGAAGAAGAAACCTTTTCGAAGCTATGCATGCAAAATTTCCAAAAAAGTTCATTTTAGCCCCTTGAGTTATACATAATTCTGTTGTTGCCCAAAAATTTCTGAAAATAATCAATTTGACCCTTTGGAAATTCAAACATTTTTTTGATGTTTTAACCATGTTGTGGGCAAGTTCATTTTTTGGGTTTAGGAGATAATTAGAGTTTAATTAGTTTATTAGAGCTTTAGTTCGCTTTGATTTTGACCCCTAATATTTGTAAATAATAATGATTTGACCCCTCAAACTTCTTTAATTCTTTCAATTGGGTCCTTGTTTGTTTTAATATGTTGAATATGGGTTGTTTACTTTCATTTGAATGCTTTGATTGATTCAATTTCGTGTTTATTTCCATTTCTTGTGATTATTTGTTAATTAAAATGATGCCTTGACCTTTTTCTTTGTTTTGGAGGGTAAATAAGAAAAATTTCATCACTTTAGATCACCAATTCAAGGGAGGTACACTCTACTCCTTTATTTTGATTTTGCTTGATCCTATGTGCTACTATGTGATTTTATGTATGAAATTGCATGCTTTTTTTGAATGTTTTATTATTTCATTTATTTCTTTATTTACTTTATTTATTTTAATTTTGTATATCTATTTAATTTTGGTTATTTGAAAGGCATTTAAATGCCAAGATGTAATAGTTAGGTATTTATTTTATTATTTATTTTATTTTCCCCCTTTAGATTATAGTTAGGACCCCTAATGTAATAGTTAGATTTTTATTTATTTTATTTGCTTTGTGTGTTTTGCATGCCTATGTGTTTACGTGTTACTCGCTTTCTTAGGGCCTTGCATCTAGATATTATGATTATGTACTATGTGTTTTTTTGTGATTTATGTGTTTATTTGTTTTATTATGTTTTATATGATTTATTTGATTATAATAAATGCATGACGTCACCATACTAGTCCAACGCTAGTTGTGGCCCTTTTTTTCGATTTCTCACTAGTCCAATGCTAGTGAGAACTTATAGACATTGGCTAGTCCAACGCTAAATCCTTAGGGACCGTCCATACGTTAGATCATGTTTGTGTGACAAATCACTACATCATGCATATTTTCCCACTTTTTAGGATTCTTATCACTTTTGCATGATATTTCCCTATGTATATCCCCTATCCCTATGCATAAAACATAACATTTAGATTTGCATCTCACTTAAGGAAAATTAGAACTAGGTTAGATCATTTGCTTGATTAGATAGGAAATACCTCTCGAATATGGGATATGAACGAGTATGATTTTTTTTAGCCTTAGCACACTCGTATTCCCTCTATCAAAGGGAAAATTGAGTCATGAATTTTAGCCTCCCCGCACCCGTTATGATGCATTCCTTTAGGTCATGTATATTTGTATAATTATTATTTTCTTTTCTTTTCTTCGAGTATCATATTTTTGCATATTCATGACCTCTTCAAAAAGTCACTCTTGGGCATCACAATTAATGTGATTTGTACCAATTAAGTTTTGAAGAGATATTCCGACCCCCCGATATCCTCCTAGGGTTAGGTTTTGCATCCATATAGTGACATCCAAATGTAATAAATTCTTAGATTAAATTAAGAAAATTTTTTACTAAATCATGCAACTAGCTTTGGCTAGATTTAAAGGGTGCCTTGGATTTTATCCTTGCGTTCCCTTTCTTCAAATGTGATTCTCGACCCCTTTTCTCCTAATTTTCGCAGACTTGGAGTCGTTTAAAAGGGTTTTCTCTACTTTTTCTTTATAAATTCATTTTAGGTGACTTGGTACACCTTAACTCAATACCAAGTGGCAACTCCTATTTTTAATTAAAAATCCTTTTTAAACTATTATCTTGGGTCAAAATCGTCACACTTTAAGTCCCATTTGGGCCCATTTTCTTTATTTATTTTCTAAAAATCAAAAACTCCTTTTTACTCAAAATAAATCAAAAATCATTTTCAATCAAAATTAAATCAAAAATCATTTTTTATAAAACCCGTGATTTTATTTTTCATTAAAAAAGGGGCGCGATAGTAATAGATAGGGTTGATAGGATTTTTTATTTCCCCATTTTAGATTGTAGTTAGATTCTCCACTGTAATAGATAGGTTTTTGCGTGTTTATATGGCTTATGTGTTATGTGCTTTATCCGCTTTCCTTAGAATTTTTGCATCTAGATATTATATTTACGTGTTACGTGATACGTGCTCTTATGTGCTTAACTGCTTTAATGTATGCCTTATTTGTTTTACTATATATCATGAATGCATGACGTCACCACACTAGTCTAACGCTAGTTGTGACTTCTCCCTCCGCTTACTTGCTAGTCCAACGCTAGTAAGGATTTTTAGAAATGAATTAGTCCAACACTAGACTCTTAGATCGTTCATGCGTTAGATTTATTTTTGTGTGACATTCATTACATTTTCATGCATATTCTTATTTTAGGATCTTTTCTCATTTGCATGATATTTCCTATTATATTATCCCCTACCCTCTATATGTGTTAATCATATCATTTAGAATTGCACCTCATTTAAGAAATTGTAAAAAATAAGTTTGTTCATTTGCTTGTCTAGATTAGGAGCATCACTCTTTGAACATGGGAAATGGGCGATTATAACTTTTTTAGTTTAAATATCTCATTAATCCCTGTATAAGAAAATTATGTCATGAGTTTTTGCCTCCCGTACCCATTATACTGCATTTTTTTTCCTTTGCTCACATATACCTATGTATATAATTTAATTTAATTTTCTTTTCTTTTCTTTTAATTTCATCATTCGCATACTCGTGACCCCCTTTAAGAAATTATTTTGACCTTCACAATTAATGCGATTGGTATCAATTAAACCCTTGAATGGATATTTTGCCCATTTCGATACCTTCTATAAATTTAAATTTACATCCATGTAGGAATCATCTTAACGTGATAAATTTAAGGGTTAGATTAGGAAAATTTTGACTAAATCTCGCAACTAACTTAGACTAGTTTGAAAGGGTGCCTTAGGTTTGAGTTAATCGAACATTTACCTTCCCTTTCTTCAACCGTGACTCTCGAACTCATTTTCTCTGGTTTTCAAAAATCTAGAGTTGTCGAAAAGGTTTTATTTTATTTTATTTTTAAATTTTATTTAAATTTTGTTAGAAAAATATTTTGGGTGACTTGGTGCACCCAAACTCAATATCAAGTGACGACTCCTATTTTCCTTAAAACCCTTTTTAGACTAAATTTTGGGTCCAAA